AAGTCAGTCAGTTTAGCAGGAGCAAAAGGGAATGGCGGGCAGTTAGGCTGTGAAGGTGCTTTGGGGCCAGGGAGTGGGGCCTGGAACACCTGGCCAGGAGGTGTAAGGCTTATTCTGCAAGCCGTCGGAGACAGGGGAGCGTGTACTAGAAGTCTAAGGTTACTGCTTTGAGGCTCTGTGACAGGCATGTCTGTAGTACTAAGAGGTTTGTGTCGAGTTAAAAAATAGCTGCTTGACCCTGAGCGTGTCCCTTGACCTCATGGGCCCTCTGTTCCCCATCTACTGGTGGAAGGAGTTGGATCCAATTGGTGGGCTCCAAGCTTTTCCCACCAAGACCTCTTTTCATTTTTAAATTAATAATTTAAATATTAAATATTTAAAAGTATATTTGAAATAAATGTGATTCTGGCTTGTTGCAAAAAATTCAATCAAACCAGGAATTTGAATGATAAATTCATTTGTCACCCTCAGCTCCACGCCTACTTCCATCCTCAGATTTGAGCACTGGTCACAATATGATGTGCGTCCCATACACCTTTCTTTGTACATTACAAACATACATCCACAGGTACAGTGCCCTGTTCACGTAGTCATAGTGTATAAGTTTGGCAAGTTGCTCTTTTTCACTGAGCACATGGAGCTTTCTCCATGCCAGTATTTCATTCTTTATATGGACCGTATTGATTTGTTATGACCACCACATCACATTGATGAAATACAAAATTTACAATGCTTTATTTTTTATTTTTTTATTTTTTTTGAGATAGAGTCTCACTTTGTTGCCCAGGCTAGAGTGAGTGAGTGCCATGGCATCAGCCTAGCTCACAGCAACCTCAAACTCCTGGGCTAATGCAATCTCCTGCCTCAGGCTCCGAGTAGCTGGGACTACAGGCATGCGCCACCATGTCTGGCTAATTTTTACTATATATATTAGTTGGCCAATTGATTTCTTTCTATTTATATAGTAGAGACGGGGTCTCGCTCTTGCTCAGGCTGGTTTCGAACTCCTGACCTCGAGCAATCTGCCCGCCTTGGCCTCCCAGAGTGCTAGGATTACAGGCGTGAGCCACCGCGCCTGGCCTACCATTAATTAACCTTTTACTATACTTGCTTTATCACATCTGTCCCTCCATCTTGTGTCCTTAATTTGTCACCCCCATTTGTTTTTTTCGTAATGATTTTTTTTTTTTAACTGGAGATTGTTTTGGATGTTTCATCAGTTTAAGTTAGAAGGGGTGTATTTCAGGCAGATGGCCTCTTGCTAGTTTCAGCTTTTTCCTCCTCTCCTGTGGTTGGCAGGCCGCAGTCCTCTGCACATCTGGGCGATGAGCAGCTGCAGGAACCACTGGGCCCCTGTTTGTCCCAGTGGAGAAGGGCCTGGTCTGAGTCCCACTCGGCTGGCTCGGCCCACATTTCCTGATTGCAAATGGGCAAGTTATAGAGAGAGGAGCACTGTCCTTAAATGTGGGGTCTGGGCAAGAGGCAGGTGTCCTGAAGTAGGTCTTATGACCTGGCACTATGGCCTACAGGGGGCAGGAGCTGAGAGGGCTGTAAGGACAGTCATTGCCGAGGCCTTCCAAACACGGTGGAGGGGGAGACTGGGTGGCCACCAAGTGGAGGCTTCCTTTCGGGATCTGCTGAGGGCAGGGGTCTGGGCTGGGCTGGGTTGCAGAATCAGCACCTAGGCTCCCAGAGTCAGGAAGGTCTTCCTGATGCCTCAGGGAAAGGAAATCTGTAGCATTTTACTCTAACTGGGATAGGGAGTAGGTTTCCAACAATAGGATGATAAAAAGCAACTTGTTTTGCTTTGGGAAGGACAGGGTAGCCTTTATCCACCTGAATTCTCAACTGAAAAATTGAGAGCTTTTAATTCCAAAATATCCTTCAGTTCCATAGACTGATGGTTAGTTGAGAAATAGTGGAATGGAAAGAAGAGGGGAAAATAGGGAGAGGTGGGGCAGGGAGAAGGGGAGTTGAGCAAAAGAGGAAAAGAAAGTGATACTGAGTGTCTGCTAAACAAACAGCAAGTAGACTGAGTGGGGAGTGAACCCATAGTGCAAAAAGCCTCCTGAGAAGGACCCGAATTGTTAATAAATGAAACAGTCTGAAACTCACAGGTATGTGAAAGTTGGGACAGTTCTTATTCCTGCCCTTGCATTTACTGTTAGCTTTTAACCTACTCTTCACAGCTCTTAGACTGATATTTATTTTTAAATTATCAGCTCTGCATGGGATGCAGGAGAGACAGATTCGTTTTGGGCTGTGCCTGTACGTACCAATATTGCACATCTTTATTATCATCTATAATTGGGGGTAATATATACCTTTTAGGGCTGTGCAGATTAAATGATACTATATATTAAAGTGCCTGGCACTTAGTAAGCCCTCAACAAATATTAATGCCCCTTTTGCAGTCAAAGTCACTCATATTGGTTTAGAGATATGTGAAGGATCGGTTTTGTTTTGTTTTGTTTAAATTCCCAATCTATTGTGCTCTGATACTTTCATAAAATACAGTAAAAATGAATTACTAAAAACATGAAAGAAAAATATACAGAATACTACCACCCAATTTTTTTACTCTTAGAGTCAACAGATTCAAAATTACTCTGTCAAGTTTCCAAATGTGTACTCTAAGTTTTCTGCAGTCATCTCCTCGAGCTTGGATCGCAGCATTCAGAGACCCCCGGGGGGGGGGGCACACTTTGGGCGGCACGGGTTCAGAGCACACCCCCACTGATTAGAGGAAAGGAGCGCGCTCTAGGGAAGAAGCTGGTTTCTCTTGGCGTGAAAAGCACTGAGCCAAGGCGCTGCGGGGAGCCCTGGGCGGGGCAGGTGCTTGGCGGGGACGGGCAGGATGGCCCGATGGCGCGGTGGCCCAATGGCGCGCTGCGGCTCCGCTGCGGACCCACCCCGCGCGGTGCAGAGGCTCCGGGGCAAAGGGGCGGGGACCAGCCCGGGGGGCGGAGGCTGGGGAGGGACTGATTCCCTGGAGGGGCTCGTTTCCCTCCCACGGAGCAGGCTTGAGAGCCTACCCCTGGCAGGTTGGGGGAAGGGGCACCCAGACTGCTAGGGAGTCCACTCCGTCTCCTAGCTGAGATTTGGAAATGAAGAAGATTGCATTTCATCCCTGGGTTGACTTAAATTTTATTTTTTGACTAGGTAATCTATTGATATGTTTCAACCTTCCAAAGGTACCAAAAAAGTAGAGAGTGAAAAGCCTTGCTCCAGTTCCACCCTGCTCCCCATCAGCCAGTGAGTTTATCAGCCATGTGCCTATCCTGTCACATATTCGTGTGCCTAAATAAATACACAGCCACATATTACATGCACTGCTGTGCACTCCTGCGCTATTATCAAATTATCTTGGAGTTCATTCCATAATAGCACGTACAGGGTGCCCTCATTCCCTTTTATAGCTGCATGGTGTCCCTTTTTATGGCTGTACCATGCTTTATTTAATCAGCCTCCTGCTGACAGACATGAAGGCTGTCTCCACTTTTTTGCTGGTGTAAATAATGCTGCAGGAATTATCTTGTACGTAGGTCATTTTACACATGTGCAAGGACATCTGTAGGAGTGGAATTGCTGGGTTAATGGGGAGGTACAAAAATAATTTTGCTATCTATTGCCAAATTGCCCTAGAGATTTTACCAAGTTATATTCTGCCAGCAATGGATGATAGTTCAAACCAGGTACTTTTTGGCTATTTCCTCAAAATGTTCCTTTTAAAAATCATGAGGTAGGTAGCAAAGGATCCGGGAATGCATGTCCTCAGAGTGCAAACTCCTGCAGCTATGTTCCCAGGATTCTCGGCTGTAGGGCTGCTTTCTGTAGGGAATCTTCTTTACGGAGAGAGGTTCTTCTTCAGAGGCATGCAATTTTGGACCAATGGCTTTGAGATGTGAGCAAATCGCTGTGATCCTGAGAGGGAGGAGGAGTGGCAACCCTGGGTGGGTCTGAGAACGCTGTCCTGGCAGCAGAAAGAGCACTGAAAAGATGGCTTCAAGTAGATATTCCTAGAGACATTTTCGGATTGGTACTTAACTCCCTGAGTCTCATGGCTTCTTCATAGGATAGTTGAGAGGATCTGATTCACTTAACAGGTATTTATTGGGCGCCTGCAGTACATGGTGGGCCTGCTCCTCAGTGTGGTTGCTGGCAGGGTCAATGAGCACAGCCACTGGAGGCCCATGGCGAAACCACACTTGCTTGACCTCAAACCCTGCACATCCAACACCTGGTTCCCATGTTCAAGTCGTCTTTGCTATAGGTAGCAGGAATATGATGGTCACAAGTCACACAAGACTGGAGTTTCCATGTGGTCGGAGGAGGCAGAAAATTCAACCAAGCAGTATAAATCACCTGCCAGGTGGCAAGGTATGCAAATGAGCTACCATATCTAAGAGAACTCCAGAAACTACAAGTACTAAACATGTTCAAGGGCATGTCTTGGTATACAAGTAGATCTGCTTCCCACTTTAACTCTTTACCCTGGCTGCTAGGTTATCCTTGGGTCATGTTAAAATACCTTAAAAATGGAGAAAACAAATTATGGTTACACAGAAATTAGGAGCATGTGAAAATGCATTATTAAACCACCTCACTGTTTTTTTTTTTTTTTCCTCTTCAGTTGTTTGGGAAGAATTACTTCTTGGTTTTAGAACTTATTACCCACAGCAGGGCATACGTATAACTTTGCCCCTCATTTGAAATTCTGAAATTCTGGGAATTTGTCCCCATGTCTTGGGAACTCTGCCTTCCCAACCATTAAACTACAGCAGAAAGTGAACCCAAAGGGACAGTTGATGCCGTGACCATGGTAGAATGCCTCTGTGTTTTTCTCCTTGAAGGCTGTTTAAATTTATGGAAACTGTGCCATTCCTGTGCTGAGTAGGGGTGGTTGGGTGGGTCCAGGGCTGTGTCCCACTTTCCATATCCACCTTGTTGAGGGCATCACTGCCCCTCCTGCCCACTCTGATCTCTGCCTTGTCTTTCAGATGACTTTGGGAAATTGCTGCTGGCCGAGGCGCTCCTGGAGCAGTGTTTGAAGGAGAACCATGCCAAAATAAAAGACTCCATCCCTTTACTGGAGAAGAATGAGCCCAAGATGAATGAAGCCAAAAATTATCTCAGCAGTGTCCTTAACCATGGAAAACTGTTGGTAAGTTGTCAGTCCCTGAACCTGGGACCTCCTCTTGACTCTTCTCTCTTGCCTCCCTTCTGAGCAACAAGTCTCTCTTACACGTTGCCCTTGCACATATAGTAGCCACTAGCTACATGTGGCAGTTGAAATGTGGCTAGTCTAAATTGAAATGTGCTGTAAGAATAAAGCATATCTGGACTTTTGAAGACTTAGTACAAACAAAAAGTGTAAAAGAGCATTCACTTTTTATATTGATTACATGTTCAAATGATAATATTTGGGATATGTTGGGTTAAAGAAAACATGTTATTAAAACTAATTTCACCTGTTTTTACCTTTTTTAATGTGACTAACAAATCTTACTAGCTATTTAGTTACACATGTGGCTCACATTTGTGGCTTAAGTTACATTTCTATTGGATAGCACTTGGTTGACCTACTATATGCATGACCCTTTGGGCTCCTTGGGAGAGGGAGTCAGTGAGCCTGTGACCTAGTTAGAAGCAGACAAACATGCAAGGTTGGCAAGGGACAGAAGAGCTCCGTAATAGGGCAAGCCAGTTGAAGTCCCGGTGCATCCATTGAGCACCTACTATGTGGAAGGCACAGAGGGGAGGTAGAGACGGGAGTATAGTCACAACTTTCTCTAGGCCTTTGCTGCTCAAAGTGTGGTCCACTCTCCAGCAGTATGGGCATCGCTGGGGAGCTGGTTAGAAATGTGAAATAAGAATTAGAATCTGATTTTATCAAGATCTCCCAGTGATTCATATGTATGCTAACGTCTGAGGCTGTTCTAGATTACAGTGAAGCCTGAGCTATAATAGGGACATGGGTATGTCACTAGAGAGTCAAAGAGGAAGTGACTTTTCATGAGATATTCCAAAGTAATATATTCACTTCCTTAAATGTTTTATTTTGGTGTCCTGTGTGCAAGGCGTTGTGTTATGCACCCTGAGGGCAGTCGAGGTGAATCTGGCATGGACCCTGCCCTCCAGGAGGCTGCAGGTCTCCTGGGAAAAGTCCTGTCATCAAGAAAATAGCCTTGGCCGGGCGCGGTGGCTCACGCCTGTAATCCTGGCACTTTGGGAGGCCGAGGTGGGCAGATCGCTCAAGGTCAGGAGTTCGAAACCAGCCTGAGCAAGGGTGAGACCTGTCTCTACTATAAATAGAAAGAAATTAATTGGCCAACTAATATATATAGAAAAAATTAGCCGGACATGGTGACGCATGCCTGTAGTCCCAGCTACTTGGGAGGCTGAGCAGGAGGATTGCTTAAGCTCAGGAGTTTGAGGTTGCTGTGAGCTAGGCTGATGCCACAGCACTCTAGCCTGGGCAACAAAGTGAGACTCTGTCTCAGAAAAAAAAAAAAGAAAATAGCCTTTGTCTAGGAGTGGTGTACAAGAGGAGGCAAGTCCGGATCACTCCTTGGCATGAAGTAGGAAGCAGACTCTGGCTGATGGCAGTACTAGAATCGGACCCTGCTAGGGACTGAATCTGGAAGGGGAGGACAGAGATAGGGATGGGTGTTTCAAGCTGGGGAAGCAGCATGTAATCTAAGGGTTCCTCTTATAAAGAATGTCATTAAAGTCAGTCAGTTTAGCAGGAGCAAAAGGGAATGGCGGGCAGTTAGGCTGTGAAGGTGCTTTGGGGCCAGGGAGTGGGGCCTGGAACACCAGGCCAGGAGGTGTAAGGCTTATTCTGCAAGCCGTCGGAGACAGGGGAGCGTGTACTAGAAGTCTAAGGTTACTGCTTTGAGGCTCTGTGACAGGCATGTCTGCAGTACTAAGAGGTTTGTGTCGAGTTAAAATAGCTGCTTGACCCTGAGCGTGTCCCTTGACCTCGTGGGCCCTCTGTTCCCCATCTACTGGTGGAAGGAGTTGGATCCAATTGGTGGGCTCCAAGCTTTTCCCACCAAGACCTCTTTTCATTTTTAAATTAATAATTTAAAATTAAAATATTTAAAAGTAATTTGAAATAAATGTGATTCTGGCTTGTTGCAAAAATTCAATCAAACCAGGAATTTGAATGATAAATTATTTGTCACCCTCAGCTCCACGCCCACTTCCATCCTCAGATTTGAGCACTGGTCACAATATGATGTGCGTCCCATACACCTTTCTTTGTACATTACAAACATACATCCACAGGTACAGTGCCCTGTTACGTAGTCATAGTGTATAAGTTTGGCAAGTTGCTCTTTTTCACTGAGCACATGGAGCTTTCTCCATGCCAGTATTTCATTCTTTATATGGACCGTATTGATTTGTTATGACCACCACATCACATTGATGAAATACAAAATTTACAATGCTTTTTTTTTTTTTTTTTTTTTTTTGAGATAGAGTCTCACTTTGTTGCCCAGGCTAGAGTGAGTGAGTGCCATGGCATCAGCCTAGCTCACAGCAACCTCAAACTCCTGGGCTTAAGCGATCCTACTGCCCAGCCCCCAAGTAACTGGGACTACAGGCATGCGCCACCATGCCCGGCTAATTTTTGTATATATATATTTTTTTTAGTTGGTCAATTAATTTTTTTCTATTTTTAGTAGAGACAAGGTCTTGCTCAAGCTGGTTTTGAACTCCTGACCTCGAACAATCTGCCCGCCTCGGCCTCCCAGAGTGCTAGGATTATAGGCGTGAGCCACCACGCCCGGCCTACAATGCTGTATTAAACAAAGGCACACATTGGTGCCAATAACATGGAGAAAATCAGTGTTAGCCAGGCCAAAGCCAAAACCTTGATGTTAATCAGACAAAATAAAATATTAAAAGTCATTTTTGGGATTCTCTGTCTTATCCCCAAAGGTTGGGGAGTAGCCGGGGTGATCTCCCTTGGCAGCAGGTGCACCCACAGGTGGCTCCCGCACGTCCTGTGCAGCTCTGGTGGATGAAGAGAGCTGGGGGGGGGCGTCCTGAGGCCCCTTCAGTGGCAACTTGAAACCCTGTACTCTCTGGGATCTCTAAGATCCTGTCCAGCTCGGTTCCGTGGAAGGTGGTGAAAACAAGCCACTTGTCGTGACCTCTCTTATCCACTGAGCTCCAGGCATTGCACCATCCCACGGAGGCCTCACAGTAACCTTCTGCAAGGGTATTCCAGAGACCTGGGAGAGGTGATCACTTAGCCAAGGACCACGCTAGCAGGTGCAGGACTTGAACCCAGGCCTTTTGTTTCCATATCCCAAGCTCTAATGCTCTCTGTCACTTGTTGGTGCTGCTTCCCAAAGTACTGGAGTGGAAATAAAATAATAACCAAGAAACTTGGATTAATGTCAAGGAAGATGACGGCACTCCTGCCTTTATAGTTCCCCTTTTACACCTGTGAAGTGTTTCCTCATCTCTTCTTTCCTCATACCTGGGTATCTCCACGAAGTCATTCTTCCCTTTGTACTGACAGGGACAGTGAGGGAGAAAGAATAGGTGACATCTGATCCACACAGCAGAGGGCCTGTCCCCCTGACTGAGCCACTTTCTGCACAGTATCCTCTCTCTGGGTCAGGGGTTCGATTCCCTGACCCTTGGATTGACAAGACCATTTCAAATTCAAATGCACGGGTCCCACAGAGGGTAACCGACTTTTAATGCTGCCAAATAAGGACATTAAAAAAGCAAAAAACAACACGGAAACTGTACCATCTTCTACTGTCATTGCTCCATAAAAGAAAAAACATCTCAACACCAAAAGATAAGATGGATGTGCTTTCAGGACGGAGAGCAGCTTTTGAAATAGTATAAATTCAGCTGTGTGCAACATTCACTGCACTGTCTTTAATTTTCCCCCCGGCCTGGTGGAAGCTCTGTTGCAAACTGTCATTGGTCTGCCAGGAACCGCCGCTGGCCACACCCATCAGCTTGCTGGAAACGTGTCCCGAGCCCCGCTGCCCTCCTCCCCGTGTACAGTAGGCGAGGATAATAATAATAATTACTCATACCCCGTGTTTATCTGGCTCCTTTCTCAAGAAAAGTTCAAAGCTCTCTTCTGAACTTTGCCCTATTAATGCTGTCAGCTTCGCTGTGACAGGAGGCGAGGACCAGGCTTTATTATCTGTCCCTCGCCCATGAGGAAATCGCGCCCAGAGCAGGGAGGAAGTGAGCCCGTGGCTTGAGACCAGGGCAGGGAATGGCAGAGTCATTCGCTGCCCCGCTTGGAGGGATTGTGGGTTGCATACTCTGGGGATGTGTAATCTGTGGCCCTGGTCCAGGGAGTGGGTGGCCTATCGGGGGAGACTAGCAAGTGCCCTTAAAAAATCCAGCTTTTCAGAGCTTATCAGTCACCAGAGAGAGCAGGTCAGGTATGCAGGGGCTGAACGGGCCCACTTGGTAGAGGCGGTGTAGGAGTTCAGCAGGAGGGAGCTCCCTGGTAGTCAGGGAGGCTTCCTGTAGGAAGTGGGCCTGAGCAAGGACCCAAAGCATGGACAAGATCTGGATAGGACAAAGGGAAGGGGACCTGAGTATGCAAAGGAGGAATGTGTATTTACAAAAACCAAAAAAGACCAGTGGGAAAGGGAAATTTGGCTTCCCTGGAGCCTGGCTTTACCCTATTCCATTTCTCTTAGTTGGGGTCACAGGTACCCCAGACTCTGGCTGCCCTGCAGGGAGACAGGGGCAGCACCTTCCTGCCAGAGACAGAGGCCAGGGGTGGGGGCCAGGGCTACGTCTCCAGGGAGCTTTGTGGACAGACGGGTGCCTGTGTGGCAAGGGCAGTGCCCAGGGCCTGGCCCAAAGGGGCTGTGGGCCAGCCGAGCACAGGAACACAGGCAGGGGGCTAGAGCAAATGGCCTCAGGAGGTGGGAGATCTCAAATGGGACTGGGCTTATGTCCAAGGCTGGTGTGGCCCAGCCCAGGGCCGGCTCAGCCTCGCTCAGGCAGCAGCACCGGGCGCCCAGGCTGGGAACAGAGCCCAAGCTAGGGCGGGGTGGCCAGGGCAGCCCGGACCTCCTCAGGCCCTGACGGAGGCCCCGAGAGTCTCTCTCTGGGTAGAGGTTGGGCTGTAAGCAGCACTTGAGAAAGGAGAAGAAAGAAAACAGGTTTGAATTCAGGCACTTTTGGCCTCCTTGATTCTGCACTTTGACCTGCTTCTGGTAGGCAGAGGAGGGTGACCCCGCAGGCCTTTCTGCCCCTCTTCCGTCCCGCGCAGCCAGTGTGGCTGTTACTCCCCACACAGGTCCTGCTGTGGGGGGTGGAGGCGTAAGCTTCAGGGCCCTCACAGGCTCTCCTACGGCCTCTACTTAATTATGTATTTGCATAAATATGCATAGAAGAGGCCCTCCAAAATTATAAGTTTCAGGCTCTACAAAACTTGGCTCAGTCCCTGACTCCCCACTTGTGTCAGAACGAGTGCCCAGCCTGGGCCACAGCCTTTGGGGCTTCAGGAGAGAGAGGACAGGTTGCCCAGTCTGCAAGCTCTCTAGGATCTAGGTGAGGGCACAAAACACTCATCCATGAAACAATTAGGGGCTCATTTAAGAATTTCACTGAGAGCCACGAGGTAGCCTACAGACTGTGGGCGTGGGGAGATGGGAGCCGTCAGCATGTGCTTGAGCAACAAGGAAGCCTTCCTGGAGGAGGAGGGGAGTTCTGAGCAGGGTTTAGGCAACTCGTGGCTCACGGTTCAGCAGGTACCTGGTAGGGGACAGGCCAGAAGCTTTGGGGCAGGAGCCTGCTAATGTGGTCCTTGTGCTTTCAGCCGCAGTACATGTGCGAGGCCATGCTGATCCTGGGCAAGCTGCATTACGTGGAGGGCTCGTACCGAGACGCCATCAGCATGTACGCGAGGGCCAGGATTGATGACATATCCTTGGAGAACAAGCCCCTGTATCAGATGCGGCTGCTTTCGGAGGCTCTTGTCATCAAAGGTAGCTGTGGGCGCCAGCCTGGGCTCCCACCACCACACACAGCTCGTTACCTTCGGGCCCCCAGGTGCCTGGAATAGGCAGTGGCTATTGGCCAGTGGAGGCTGTGCCGGGGGTGGGCCAGTGTCCAGATACTTCACCCCTGCTAGCGCCCAGGCACTGATGTCCAGGGTGGGTGCTGGTGGCAACCAGCCAGGCTGACGGCAGCCTGGTGCCCAGGCAGGGATGTCAGAAGACTCAGGTTCTTGCCCTGGCTCTGTCAACAACTGGCTACCCAATGTGTGCCCTTAAGCAAGTCACCTCTTCACCTCTCTTGGCCTCAGTTTTCTTGTCTGTAAGACAGGGTTGTCATACCTGCCCTTGTCACGACCAAGAGGAATCAGCCGAGTTGTGTGACCAGGTTGAGAAAGGCTGAAAAAAGTGTGCTGTTCCACTATCAGGCTGGCTCTGGTGACAGTGGCCACAGACCGGGTGCTTGATGCTGTAGAGGGTCTGTCACTTCTCAGGTCTTTGTTGGGCACCTGCTGTGAGCAGCTCAGGGAGCGGGTGCCGAGATCCAGGATGGATGGTTCAGAGCCAGTTCCCGCCCTGGTGGAGCTCCCAGCCTTCCCAGGCAAGGGGCACTCTGGGGCAACTCGGGCGTGGGGCCAGTGACACAGGAATTTCCTCACGGGGACTGTGGACAGCCCAGCTGGAGAAATCATGCTGTTTAAGTGACCCAGAATGTGTTAGATATGAGTAAAAGTCCTACCCCAAACTTTGTGCTTCAGGCTCCTCCTTCCCTGGATCCATAAGCTCTGGGATCACAGAGCGTGAGGGGTGGCTCTTGGTGGCACTGAGGTCTTGGGAGCCCCTCTGCCCAGCCTATTCCAACACAAACCGACCCCCAGAGAAAAGTCTAGAAAAGCCGCATGTGGCCCTGTGCGGATTTCGTGCCTGGCATTAGTACAGTATGTGTCACCCTCTTTTCTATTATAGATAGACACAGTCTGTCCATGTTATATATGAGGAAACTGAGGCTCAGAGGGGATACATCCTTTGCCCAAAGTTACCCAGATTCATGATAGAGCCAGGACTAGAACCTCCATTCTCTGACACTGGCCCCAAATAAGACCCCCCTGCCCACACTCACACATACATTCCTCTGTCTCCTCTGGGTCCCCGTAGGAGTGACTGTGACATCTGTGGAGGGCATGCCCTCCTTGCTCTGGCTGGTGGGGCTTCCTGAGGGTGTGTGTCCACCCCTGAATCCTTGGGGCCCTTTCCCCTTGAGTGCACGCCATCCCAGGAAACCTGGCAAGATTGTCACTCTGGGCAGCCCCAGCACCAGCCTGCGGGAGGGTAGGTGCCCATCTGGGATGGCCCGGTCTGTGGGGGTCTTCTCCCTTTGCTCTCTCATCCCCCTCTCTGCACCTCTGGCACAGGCCAGTCATGGGGGCGACCTTCATGTGGCGTTTGGGTCTTTGGGGTCTCTTGGAAGCCACTTCTGCCACGGATGCCCTGAACCGAACACCCTTCCTTGGGTTTCCTTTTCAGTACTTTCTCCTGTAAACCTGGCTCAGTGTATATTGCTCCCTGTCTCCTGCTCTCTACTCTTTCCAGCATGCCTCCAGCTTTGGGGGAACACAGTCCTGGTGGTCAGAGGTCCTGCAGGGGAGGTAAGGAGCCCGGCGCCACTGGCATGGGCTGCTCGGTCGCGGGCTGTGCTAGCTGCCTGTCCCCCAGTGACCGCACATGGCCTCCCCTTGCCTGCCTCCTCTCTGCTGTCCTCCCTGTTCTGTTGCCGTGACTACACCTGCTGCTTAGCATGCTGAGGTTCGCCTGACCCTGCGCGTGCTTGAGACTATGCACGAGGCCGTCAGTGTGTGCATGATGTTGATTTTCCTGGGTTTGGCGGGATCTGGTGGGTCTTTCCATGCAGAGTCGAGGCCACACTCAAAAGGGGATGAGGACACTGGCCATTGGTCCTGACTCCATCTGCAAGCATGAGTGTGGTGGCCGCAGGGCCTGCAGAGTTCACTGGATGTTGATGTTTATGGAGCCCTCTTTGCTGAGCGTGCCCTCACTGAATCCCCACAGTTAGCTCCGTGGCAGTGTTCTCTCCCCTCCATCCCACAGGTCAGGAATGAAGGCTGGAAGAGGTGAGGTGACTCGTGCCAGTCTCACAGGAAGTGGCAGAGCAGGCTTTGAACCCAGGCAGCCAGAGTGTGTACATGCCCTGTGATGCTGCTCAGAGTCTTAGGCTGAAAGGAGTCAGAAGCGATCTAGGCCAAACCCTCATGTTACAGATCAGGAAACGGACAAAAGGGAAGCAACTTATCCAGGACACCAGTCAGCTTGTGTGTGAACGCGGGCCCTCTGCCCGCAGGCAGCCTCTGGCCTTGGGCTGTATTCCACCTGCAGGGGCCTGACTGACCCACTCCCAGCGCTCCTGGCCGGGCTGTTGTGCCATGGCTTCATTTACCATGTTGCATTGGATTCTGCTCTGTGGCTCCATTCGGTACCATCTGGTGGGGCAGGGAGTGTGTCAGGCGCACTGGCTGGAGGGAGGAGGACAGGGCCCGTGTGTTGCAGGGGAGCCTGAGCTCGCCAGGCCGGGGGTCTCAGTGGGGCCCGAGTGTGGGCATCCCACATGGAGGGAGGTCAGGGCCGGGCTCTGCGTCCTGCACCCCCACCCTCCCAAGACATGAAACACACTCCGCTCACCCTCCTTCCCCTTCAGAGCAGAAGGGCTTGGCAGTGGTCCCTCTGAGACTTCGCTCACAAGGACTTGGCCTTCCGCTCAAGTGGAAAGTGACGTGCATCTGTGTGTTAGACCCAAAGGTGCTGTGTGACTCTCAAGGAGGCTTTGGACACCAACCGGGAGCTTGAGGGAAAGGGGCAGGCACGGCTTGCCCAGAGAGCAGAGACGTTATGGGTATGTGTATGTAGGGTAGGGGTACGTGACCCTCCACCTATTCCAAGGCGAAGAGTTATTGTCCATGTCCAGTTTGTTCAGAACTAATAGAAAACCACATTTTCTCATCTAAGTTAGAAAAATAAATCACCTTTTTGAGATGACTGTCATTTCCACATCTGGGTGGTCTGTGTGCAGCCACCAGCATTCTTTGTCCCCCAGCATTTTAGTCACGCCTGTGCTCAGATGGACCAGGTCCTGCCGGGAGTAGAAGACTGGGTTTTAGAGCCTCTCAGTGGCACCTGGGAGGTGGGCTGGGCCCTGCCGGAGGCTCTGGCTTTGGGGGAAGAACATCTTCCTGCGTCCTGCCTCTAGCTCCTCGTGGCTGCAGAGAAGCAGTCATGTTGACTTGTCTGTCAGTAACGCCTTGTCCTATGGCCATCTGCTCCCAGGTCACCTGTGGGCCCTGAGCAGAGCTGAGAGCTCCTTCCCTGCCTATCAGAATCCCCCATTCAGTCCTTCATTTCCCAAGTACCAATTCCTCGAGGCTCTCTGGTGCACCTGACGTTTGGTGGCATTCCCAGAAACGTGAGGTGCAGACCCTTTTCTCTGGAAGCTGAGCATCCGATGTGTGTGCAGGTGAGGGTGAGGGTGAGGGGGCAGGGTTATCGCGTGTGCACTGCCCAGGAGCTTCTTAGGAATGCAGATCTCAGGCCCTTCCCCAAACCTACTAAATCAGAATCTGTACCTTAGCAGCGTTCCCGGCATGCACACTGCAACGGGAGAAACTCTGCCCTGGAACACCTGTTTAATAAATGTGTGTTGACTGATGGGCTAACCTTCATCTCTACTCTGATAAGTGGTTGTTATGCCCATTTTATGGTTGAGAAACTAAAGCTTGCCCAAGGTCATATAGCGTGTAAGTAGTGGCCCTGAAGCTTGCATCAGACATATGGATGTCTCTGAAGCTTGCATCCTGCCCACCACAGAGGAGCCCACCAAAGGGTGATGGGAAACAGATTATAGTTACCTCCGAGACAGGTTCACATAGATAAGGACTTTCTCCTCTCCGAGCCTTCTTAGCCCTGCATTGAGTAGCCCCAGTGAAGTTCTGCACCACTTTACCCGGGCGTCTGCTTTCCTAGGGCTGTGGTTTGTGGGTGAGCAGAAAATTTGCTTTTGTAGTTCAACCTAGCATCAGTCATCTTGGTCCAGAGTAGAAGCCTGCTCCTCTCCTACCCCATTCCCCAGGCCCTGCCATGGCCCCTTTGTGACTCTCCTCTGACCAAGCTTGTCAGACCAGGGGAAGGCCCTGGGAAAGGAAATGTTCCTGGCCTATTCCAGGCACAGGTGACAGATATATATTTTGGATGGGGAAGTCCCACTGCCATCTAGTTTGTTTGAGGGAGGAACATCTTCCATTTACTCTGTATTAAAAGCACTCTAGAATCCTCTGGTTTTGAGGCCCTCCTGGGAAGGCCCGTCTGCAGGGCTGCTCACTCTCGTGAAGCCCTTGGCACTTGGGTCTGTGCTGGTGGCTGTGAGCCCTGTCTTCCACCAAACTCCAGGTCCCTGGACGGTGGTCATTTCTTTTGCGCCCTGAACCAATCTTCTCTTCCTCTTCTCTCTTCGCAGAACACCATGTATCAGCCACATGAGTTCTGCTCCTGGTCCCTGGCATAATCCATGAAGTTCTTCCCTTTTTCTTGGGCCATCGTCCTTGCCTGTCACACCATTTTTCTTGACTCTGCCATGTAGATGAGTTCTCACATTCCCTTGGGACACAGTTCAGGTGCCAGGAGCTCCCTTGGCTGTTCAGCCTGCAGCATTCTCCCTCCCCCCAGTGCACTCGGACCTCGGCCTCACTCGCGCACACCACCCTCCCCAGTTGGGGGTCAGTATGTCCCTCCCGCCAGCAGTCTGGCCCCTGTGGTGTATCTCCCATGGTTCCTGGCCCACCTGCTACAGGGGAAAGTAAAATTTGCCAGCAATTGACTCAGCTGAGGGTGCCAAGATGAACAGTTAGGGTCCCTTGAGGGATGGCAGGCAGGTGAGCAAAGCCTGCCCCTAGTGTGCTGTGGCTCTGGGAGAAGCAGCTGTTCGGGAG